ATATTATTATATATATATATATATATATATATATATATATATATATATATATAGACATATCGATTCAACTAAAGAATTTTTTAATAAAAAAAATTTAACGATTTAAAAAAAGGCAAGATATTATACCAAAGAAATATAATAGAATAAAAATAATTAAAAGGTTGAAAAAATAAAAAAAGATAAGATTAAGACCAAATAAATGACTGATTGTGGAATGTAGTAATATAAGTATATAAAAAAATGAAATTCGCTCATTCGTTCAAAAAAATGTATAGAGACTAAATATATTTAAATAAAAAATAATATTACGGGGCTTTTTAAAATGTGACAATAATTTTAATTTATTTAATTATCATTCACATCATACTCAATCAATTCATCATAGAATTCAACATAGAAGATTGTAATATTGACAATGATTTAATGAAAAATAAAATTATAAATAAAATAATACATATGATAAAATATCTTATAATCCTATATTATTAATATTTTATTCTAAATGCAAAAATATTTTGTATATAATTTATATAAAAACATAAATTAAGAATTATTTTGATGATAAGAATAAGGAATCATTTATATTAAAGAATAATATAAAATTACATTCGTATTCTAATTATTCTGAACAATATAATGAATAATATAATGAACAATATAATATAAAAATTGTTAAATTATTGAATTATTATAATATATAATATAATAAATAATTATTTTTTATGCATAGGCAAAGATTATATACAATCATGTAAATTTTTTCATCGAACTTCATATTAATTGCTGATTTTAATAAATATAAATAATACATAATCAAATTATTAATTTAATAAAAATTTAATAAAAATTTGTGAATTTGATTTTAATTATAACATTCTTTTCCACATAGAAAAATATTCTTCTAACAAATAAAATAATAAATTTTAATAAATAAAAAATAATAAATTATTTTTACAAAATTAATATAAATTTAATAAGTTATTATAGCTAATAATGAAAAATTTTAATAAAAAGTTATAATAAATTGAATTAAGTATAATATTATAAATTAATTAATATATCATGTAAATTATATAAAATTAAAAAATATTATATAGAATATTAAAAATTATAATATTTAAATATTTCATATGTTAAAATATTTGTTTGGAGACATTTTATTATTGTCGATATGTTCAACGCTCGATTCTCAACTTTACCTGCTGAGTTATTAGATGGGGAGAAAATTACGAGCCAGTATCATTTCGACCGCTGTATTACTTTACACGCTTAAAATTACACATTCGATATATGATTTAAAGTTATATACGAAGTTATGTACGACTTTTTTGTATTTAAAATATGTATTCACAAGTTTTTATTTCAAATTGTTACATCTATGTATATTTATTCGCAATTATTTTAATTACATTTATTAATAAATGTAATAGTTTTGCGCGACTGTCGGTACATATTATTATTATTATTATGGATAGATAGAAAACTATCTCTATGTCATATCTAAAACTATGTCATTGTATTATCTACGAATGGTAATTTGTATGCTTTTTTTTGGTAATAGATAACTAGTTAAACTCTTTAAATATATAATGATTACAAATATTTTATTTATTTTATGTTTATTACAATTTTTTATTTTTTTTGTGTTGTATTTTTTCGTTTATATATAATATTTATTTATCATATCATAATTTACAATAAAATTTTCTTATATAACATTTAATATTTTCAAAAAATTTTAAATTTAATTGTTACATTCGATTTTTGTTTCTGTTTCGATTTTATACTATTCTACTTTTAATTCGATTTTTTAATATTTTAAAATTTCATATTTTTTGTTTCAAATTAATAAAATATTTCAAATTATATAACTAATATAATTAATATAACATAAATATAATTTATTACATATTTCATTTTAAAGTTGTAAATACAGATTTTAATCTTATATACAAGAAAACATTGCATTATTCATAGCAAAAAAACAAGATAAATAGAAAAATCGATTTTTTAATCTATTATCGATCATCGATATATTTATTTATCCTCCAGTTTGGTATATATATGCATATAAATATATATATATATATATCGCATATATAAATGTATACAATTAATTAAGTCTTATTTATTACAAGTGATTTTTTTACCAATGGACTTACTAAAAGAAATAATATTATCGTCTATACTTCGCGACAATGATACAATTTGTATACTTTGTCTATAAGCTTTATAAATACAATCGTTTTCGCTACAATCATTGATTACTTGATAATAATATTGACTTTTTTACCAACAAATTATTATCAAAAGACAGGATTATCGGCATGGTATTTTAGCAATGGCCTACTTTAAATCTAATGAAAGAATTATTCTCTATTAAATATATTTAGTTTTAAAATTTTTTTAATTTAAATTTCTTTACTTTTATTAAAATTTTTAAATTTATTTACTTTAATCATTTTTTTTATTATTGAATAATAATATTAAATAATTTAGAATTATACATAATATTTACGTGAAAATAAAGTTTATAATAATATGATTTACAAAAAAAAGAGAAATTTTAATAAAATATGCAATTCATTTAATATTTTTGATTGAAATAATATGCACCAATAGTTTCATAGTTCATTTATATTTCTTATATTTTCACAGTGGCGCCAGTTTGGTGCAACTGTGTCCACTTTTAGTACTAAAATATTGAATCCTTTCCTCTGCTATCATCCGATACAACATCTATTCAAAAATACGTTCGTTCATTTAATGACGAAAATCATGTACCTGTAGTACGAGACGATAAAGTTCGAAATATTTTAGTAGCGAATTAATTCTATTTCTTGTATCTCGAATAACATTATTTTCATCAAATATGGATAAAAGAAAAATGTCGTGAGTACTTTACCATTTTTATATTAACTTATTTGAATTTTATACTATTTCCTTCTTTTAAAAATTATATTCTTTTAATTCAACAGTAATTAATATATATTTTTCCATCGAATTTAAGGAATATATATTAAAAATTTAAAATTTTAAAAAATTAGACAAATTCTAGGTTATTCTTCTATTCACTTTTTAATATTTTAATCTTTATTCTTATTCAATTCATGTCATAATTTCTAACGAAAATAAAGACAATAGTTTTGTTAACTGGTAATTTCTTTTTTTTTCTTTTTTTTTTTTTTTCTTTTTTTTTTTTAAGTTAAAGATTTATACTTATTACGTTGATTTGTTGATTTGTGAACATGTCGTAATACATTTTGAAGATTATTGTCATTAAGATTGGGTTTTTATTACATTTTTTCATAAACAATTTATATTTGTAGAATTATTAAATTATTTACATTTAAATATAAAAATTGAGTATTAATTATTGAGATTGTAAAATACAATAAAAAATTTTGATTGTGAAGAAAGTAAAATTGTAAAATAAAATAATAAATTATGATTGTTTATATGATTGCTTAAATTTTCTTTAAATAATCCTAATAGTATATAAATATTATTTGTGTTAAAAAAATTATTATATTTTACATAATGATATTATCAATAAATTTGATATGAAAAAATAAAATATTTTATATTTTTTTAATAAAATTTTAATTTTTATTTTTTTCTATTTTAAATACTTAGAAAATATGCTTTAATTAAGTTTAATTTCAGAATTTATATTTTTATATTTATTATTTGATGTTATATATAAATTCAAACAATATTTAATATTAAACATTTTTTAATATAATTTTAAAAATAATACAAATTAATAAGTTATTATATTTGTTATAGAAATTGACAATTAATTGATTCATTAACATTTTCTTTGTTTCAGGACAGCAGGGGATTCCCTGTACCAAATTTTAGAGATTCCAAAAACTGCCACTCCTGAAGAAATTAAGAGGACTTACAGAAAGTTGGCGTTAAAATATCATCCTGATAAAAATCCAAATAATCCAGAAGCAGCAGAAAAGGTGAGTTTTAATATAATTAATATTTATTATATTTTGCTTAACTTGATAAATATTTATTGATTAATTGATATAAATGATATAATTTGATTTAATTTATTAATTATAATTTTTTTTTATTAAAATAGATTTTATCTAATAGATACATAGTAGATAAAATTTGAATTTAATATAGATTAATATCATTTGTATTAAATTTTATAATATTAATATAATTATTATTAAATATATTGCATAAAGAAAAAAAAATTTATTATAAATTACATTATGCTAAATATGATTTTTATATTTATATAAAATTTATATATATGTATATATATAAAAAGACTTATGAAAAATATCAACATTATATTATAGCTATTTCCTATTTGTAAATCTTTTAATCTATAAAATTTTTTTTGAAAGAAACATAAAGAGGTATGTTCTTAGGAATGATAATTATCAATCTGAAATTAATTTAAATTTTATTTGAGAAAAGAATAATTTGTATAAATATATAACAATTTCAATTTAGATATATTAATATATAATAATTTTAATAGAAAGAAAATTTATATTTTTCTATTCATATATCTTCTATCATATGATTAAATTAAAGATCGTATTTATTTTATTATATTAATATTTAATTATTTTATATTTGATTATTTTAAATAATATCTTGTCATTAATTTAAATACTAGTTTCAGACATGTTTTTAATAATTATTTATAAAACGGATAATCTTAGACAGATTTTTATATTCTCGAATTATGTTTTCAAAGATAACATTATAAACAATTTTTTTCTATACATTTATATAATTTATATAATCATGATTTAATTTCCAAAATATTTGTGAAAAAAACTTTTTGTATTATTAGAATTTATTATATATTAGAATTTATTATTATATTAGAATTGAATTTTGTTTATGTATGAGTATATGCATTTTTTAATGCAAATTTCTCTTACCATATCGAATACTTGATCTAACTTGAATTTCCTATGCAATATGCATAAAATATAAACATAAGATGAAATCCTCAATTCTTTAATTTCTAGATACAATCAGGTGAATATATATTTTTATATATCTACTTTTAAAAACAAGTAATTATATTAATATTAATAATATATTATAATATTTATTGAATATTCAGAATAATTAATATTATATTAAAATGAAATTATATGAATTTCTAAATTTTTTTGCAAATTCTTTTTTTCGTAGATTCTAATCTATGTTACTAATTAAATATTTTAAATTATAGATATATTGTATATGTACATATATAAATTAATACAATAAATAATATGATAAATTTTACAATTATAAAAAATAGTTATTTAATTATATAAAATATCAGTAAATCTTTAAATCCTTTTTTTTTCTAAAACATTAAAAATAAACATAGAATATTTATATTGTTAAATATATCATCGATATAATGTAAATTATTTCTCTATTAAAGTAACATATTAAAAACTAATATTAATTATAATTCATAATTACAATATACATTTATTTTTAAATAATTTTATTTTTAAAAAGATACAGATACAATTTTATCAAAAATATTACTTGATCAAAAATATTATAATCTTACTTTTTCTTCAACTTAATATAAAGTTTCATATATATATTTTATAAAGTTTATCTCTTTGAATGTGATTATGTTTCAGTTTAAAGAAATAAATAGGGCACATGCTATATTAACAGATTTAACTAAAAGAAATATATATGATAATTATGGATCACTTGGACTATATGTTGCCGAACAATTTGGTGAAGAAAATGTCAATGCATACTTTGTTGTCACTTCTGGTTGGTGCAAGGTAAACTTTTATTAATTTCTGAGCTTTTTTATAAAGTAAATTTTATTATTATTATTAATTTTATAATAAAAATTAATAAAAATTTATCAATAGTTTTAATATAGATAAATTATATATTATATATATCAAATTTTTATTTTTTTAAATTTATATATAATATCTCTATTCATTTGCAAATGAACTTATTTTTTGAATTTATAATTTACAAAATGTTTATTATTAATATATATTGTACAATTAATTATTAAATATAATAAATTCATGATATTAATTGTAATTATTGTTTTCAGGCACTCTTCATATTTTGTAGTTTGATAACTGCGTGTTATTGTTGTTGTTGCTGCTGTTTTTGCTGCAATTTCTGCTGTGGTAAATTCAAGCCAACACCACCGGAAGACAGTGGAGCATACCACAATTTACAGGTAATATTTTTGTACTTTTTTCTTTATTTTCAATTTTGAATATGTAATATAATTGCAAATATTGTTTAGTTAAAATGAATATTGATTAATTTAATTTAATAGGAAAATTGTGTGAAAATTTTAATTTTTTTATATGCAGTATAAATATTAAATATTTCTAGATTTTTAAATTTAATTGAAACAATTGCAAAAATGAGTTATTTTTGGATTACTTCCAATTTTTTAAAAATATTTTTTTGATTTATTATATATACCATTATATTATTATTATATATACCATAATATTTAAAATAAAGTTATTAAAAGTTAAATTTAAATTTTTGAATTTTTACAAATAATTTAATTTGTGTGGAAACTATGAAACTAAAAATCAAATAACAAATTATTATAACTAATGAATATAATTAAAATTTTAACGATATATAAATGTGATATATACATATGTGATGTATATATATATATATATGTAAATAATAATTGAAAATAGAGAAAAATTATGTGTCACATGATATAATAAATATAAATGTTATATCATGTGAAAAAAGATAAAAATTTCCAAATTCTCAAGAAACGAATTATGTTTAAAACGGTAATGTGTGACAAAAAATTAGAATTATAAAAAATATCGATCGATATAAAATATCAGGTTCCATAAAAATTAATATTTTATATTTTAATTAATATGATAATTAAATATTTATGTAGTTAGCATTGAAATGAGCTGTATTTTTTAAGTCAGTTAAATCGTAGACATGATATAAAATATATTTAAATACGGTATGCATAATGCTTAGAAAAGCAATGGATCGAAATGCGATAATATATATCGAAACATTTAGATAAAAATATGCTTTTTAGGAAATGACCACTTATATCGATTAATCGTGTTAAAAAAAATATATAATTTCATAAAAATTCATAAGAATTATGAATCCATTTATCAATATGGAAGGAAATTTCCAAGAGACGTCATATATTTACGTGCATTTCTAAAATCATTTTTCATTTGTTATATAATACATATAAAGATTTATTCGTTTCTCGATCACGTATCTATCGTTCATCTCGTTCGCTACATTTTCAGCAAGCAATGCTCTCACATACATCATTTATATATTATTTGATACTTTACACATTTTTAAAAAAACTAAATCTTTATCTTATTTTGTATATATTGTATATATATATATATGTGTGTGTGTGTGTGTGTATATATATATTATATATATACTGCAAAAAATTAATAATAATAGATCAAGTTACGTACTATGCAATTTTTCATACGAAATATTTTTTCAAATAATTTATGAATATAATTTTGTAAAAAATAGTTTCACATTACTTACTTCGTATAATTTATTTGTTAATGTTAATAGAATTTCTTAATTCTGGGTTCTAGAGATTAATTAATTTTAATTTATCTAAATAGATATAATAGGAATATTTAAAATTACATCGCAATTCTGATATTAGAATTTTAGCATAATTTAATATTTTGTACGATATATATCTTGAATATTATTGTTTTTATTATTTATTCCTATAATATTATGAAAGCTCTCTCTTCTTAAATTTTTTATATTTGATTAATTTTCTAATAAAAAGTCTAATAAAAATACATATAATAACAATTGTCTGACAAACTTTCATGAAAATAATATACAAATATTACATAATATCATTGCTCTAGTAGATACTTATACATTTTTGTACACTTATCTTATAAGGAAATTTATTTATCTTGAAAATTTTGATTTTGATAAAAAATTTATATTTAAAAAAAATTTTTTTTCAACAAATATTTATTAAAAATGTGAAATGAACGAGAAGGCAAGATTTATTTTATCTTTTATTATTATTACACGTAATTCTTAAAATATGAAGATATTTTTAATATCCAGATCTAGGAAAACAGATTTATTTATCATTATTTGAAATTATTGAATAAGTAATGTCGTTTTCTAAGATACTTTACATAGCGGTGGTATTTATTCTTGTATGATTTCTGGATGTGTTTCCTACCAAATTTTAAATTTTGATTTTTAATTGACTAAGAACAATTAATAAATTTTTATGCTATTTGTAAATTTTATACTACGAAAAACACAGCGATATATTATTGGTGGCAAGTACGAAGAACTCGATGGATTTTTATGAAAACAATTCTTCTCATTGTTTTCATCGATAAAATTGCATGTAATCTGTCTAGTTATTAGTAGTAAAGATTAATCACATTATAAATTCCATTACAATATTTTTATCAAAGTAATATACATAATATTTAATCTTTTGTTATCTTTTGTTATTTATAAGAAATTTGCATGAGTTTTTAATTATGCATGAGATCGTTTATTAATTACAATTATGTTTCTTTATATTAACAATATATTAATATATTCAACAATCTTTCATTCTTTGTGATTTCTTTCTAAAAAAAATTTTTTCGTGAATTGACGGAATATTTTCAAATTATTTGATTTCATCGTATAATCTCATTTAGAGTGTTTATCTCAATTTCTTTCATATACTTCGAATTATTTTATATTAAAAATTAATATCTTTGAAATAGTAAAAAATATAGAAAATTATCAGTTATGTTTCTTTCCCATTTCTGTATAATAATTTTATTATCTTTTAAATCTAGCAAACAATGTTAATATTCTGATTTTTTGAATCGGAGAAAACGACATTACTTGTAAAAAAAATCTAAGAGATTAAAGGATTGTTATTTGTATATATGTTCTTTTTATATATATATTTTATATATTTTTTACAACAATTTTTAATATATATATTTTGTTATTACAGATCAACGTTACATAAATTTTATTGAAAATACTTCAACTATAATATGATTAACGATATTATTATATAATAATATTATTATTATCGTTATGATAAATTTTTAGTTTTTCTTATACATGTTATAAAGATTAAAAGAAAGATTAAAAAGAAATTACTTAATTGTTCATTTAAGACAAACAATCAGGAATTAATAAAAATATTTTGTATTTTGAAATAGGATTTCAAATCAACAATTATTTTTAAAAAGAAATCAAACTTATGTAAAAAAGACGAAAATATGGTATTTTAATTTTAACAGAATTTTAAATATTAAATTTTAACAAAAATTTATAATTTACTAATTCGAGAATTATTATATTTTTTAAAAATAATAGTAAATTTTTTAAAAGTAATTGTAAGATTTCATAATATTATAAACTTCAACGATAAAATTATTGATATTTGAACGTTTTCCTCGGTTAATTTCAAATTATTTTTCGATATTTAAAATATGTAAAAATATATAATTATTTTTATATAAGAATTTAAGAAAATAAAAATAATAAACTGATTATTTTTTTATATTTAATTTCGTGCAATTTAAGTAATTATAGTGTTATATTGATCATATTCAAAGAATATGCCATATTATGGCGAATTAGCCATCTATTTTCGCGAGTGATGATAAATTCTCTTTTCTTCTAAAATATATTTGCGAATATTTTTGCGAAATTTTGTATCATTTCTTTTAAAATGTAAAAAAAATGAACGGAGTTAATTTTTTTTTATTTATTTAAAGAAAAACAAAAAGAGATATAACAACTATAACGTTAAAAATATGAGAAATTATATTGTATTGTAAATTAAAAATTATCGTTTTATACGTTCTTCTCTGTTAAAACATTATGCTATATATATATATATGTATGTATACTTTATTTCGCAAATATCGTATTTGTTTCGTAAATATCATTGTAATCTTGAGAAATTATATATTTTTGTTGATATTGATTTTTTACAGATTTACGAGAACAAGAACTAATATTTCTTTTTCTTCGTTTCTCAGTCATTTCATATTCGCCATTATATCATCGATCTATAATTTATATAATCTTTCCAATTTAATCTAGCATGCACTTTTTTTTACTTCTGCCTTTCTTCCCCCTCTTTTTTCTTTTTTTTTCTCCCCCCTCCTGTTTTTTTTCTTTTTTTTTTTTTTTTCTTTCTTTTTTTAGTAATTACTAATTAG